TTTGATTACAGGACAAACATTGAGCTTATAATGCAACTTGTGGGCTGCGGGCCATTGCTTCGCATGGCAATACGAGTCCTGGTTTTTTTAACTACCACAACAAAAGCTCCAACTACAAACCATGTCAGCGAACCACCGAGTTACAATCAAAAAGCGGAAATCGAATAGTAATCTACTGTCAAAGACCGCCATGACCGCGAATACTTACAGTGAATAAACAAGACCTCAATAAAAGTCACGTGATTTATGCCAACGTTGCAAACTTCCCTCGCTTGTATTTGTCTTCCTAGATCTCTGAAGCTCTCTCTACAAGGGAAGCGCTAAGGCATGTTGCTACGGCCGGTTTCTGAGTGGATGGTCTGCCGCGCGCCGCTTGCGTTACTCTGGACTTACCGTGTGACCTCGAGGGTGTGGCCGCTGTCTTCTTCACCTCCCAGTAGCAAATTGATGGCCGCTGCTCCTCTCCTCGCAAGATATGAAGCCTTTTAATTGGTGCGTTTTCAGTCTGTCTACTCTCTTTCAAGTCTTCTTGAGAGTCTTGTACTGAAATTATGCTTGCTTTCAGTCGCTCTCCGTCCTTCAACATGTTGTCTTGAAAACTCAGAACGCGCCCTTTCAAATACCGGCTCGAGGAAATCTGCATGTCGGTGACGCCGGGCACCGCTTTGCCCACGTTCCTCTCACTTTCCACCTCCTTGCCGCCTGGGGGAAAACGCTCTGCCTCTGGCGTGCCTCGGCTTTTACGTCGCTATCACCCTGTTTGGCTGGCATCCCCACTTCCTCTGCGCTGTCTGTTTCTTATAGTTGTGAGTGGATCTTCTTTTGATCCTTATCCAACTTTCTCACCTCTCACTCCGTTTTGAAGATTTCGCGTGCACCTTTGTCGCTCGTTCCTTTGGCTTCCCCGACTTCTCTAGGCCCCCGTGCCCCTTCCTCACCCGCACCTGGTCTGTTGGGCCTTACTGGCATTGTCTCTGGTGGGAGGAACTGTCTGCAATTTGCGAGTTTATACACGCGGCATTTGCTGGACTGCGTCCTGCTCGACTCGCCTGTCGCTTTGGTTTAGCCAAGTGCCAGCGAGCGAGTCGCTGCCGACTTTCCAGCAGGCTCTGACAGGCTTCAACTGGGTTTGCGAATACATTGATTCACTCCAGTCCGAGAGCTCGCTTGACCGCCGCAACAACTCCTCTATTTGGCTCCACCAATTGTATCTTGAAAGGTCAGCTGCTTTTTTGCCTACTGTTCATTTGGTGTATAATAATTGCAGGCTATTCTCAGGTCGGAACAACCATGCAAAGACGACATTTTGTAGTTAGGCATAACTATTTTACTTGTTCGAAAACGGTAGACAATTCTTCTTCATCCTTCGAGCTGCTTGCTACAGCATATTTTCAATAATGACTGTATGATCAGCTTCCATCTCGGATACGTTATCTGCTGCATATTCCACTGCATCGTCAATCTCCTTTCGTAAGTCATCTACCTCCTTCCTAAAGGTGTCCACCCGGGCCAGTAAGTCGCGCACACGTCTTTTAAGTTTCTGTGCCGTGCTTTTTAAACCGCCGGCTTTTTCTAACGCAGTAGGAAGTAGTGTGTCGATGATGTTGGTACGTCGTTGATGTGCAACCTTGAGACGTAATTTGTGATTTTGTGTACCTATGATAGGGAACGTGTTAGCAATGAGCGCAATTTTTTTTTTAGACCGCCAACCTATACTTGTATCTTGCTCAGCGGCGGTAGCTTCAAGCTCCAATTGCAAGTTGTGTTCATCCAAAGCTTCGTCGGCTGTCTTATCTGCCTTTTCAAAGTTTTCGAAGGCCTCGGTGAATTTCTCTGCCGCATTGAGAAGGTTTGTCCAGTCGAAACGTAAGTCATCGTCTCTCAGTTCGGAGGCAAGGTGCTGTATTTTTTGCTCGAAGATGGATGGGTGGATTTCCATTTCCATGGTAGTTCGGTAATATGGAACGACTTAATGAAAAAATTTTAACAGCACAAGAGCGCAAACATGTGATTGTCAAGGTCTCCCAACGTCATAAATACCAGGTCTACGCACGCGAGCGAGGAAACATGTGCAAATAATCGGTTATGGCGAACGTAAACGCCTTGGGGGTTCAAGTGCATCCAGGGGATCTACATAGTCGATAAACTTTCAAATATAATATTGGTGTTTCAGCGTATGGAATGCTATTCGTCAGGTGCTACTGTTTGTCAAGAAATATGATACAAATACGATACTGTTCGTCAAGAAATATTGTTCGACAAGAAATACAAACTCTTCACTGCTCCTCCTCCACCTCCCTGTTCCGCCCCTCCGGCTCCCCATTCTGCACGGGAAAGGCACCCGAACTCATCTCCACGTCCGCGCTCATCTCACGCAATTCCCTGTCATACCTTGCCAACGTCTTCATTATCATCGCGAAATACACCATCCCAATCACCAAGACCCCCGTGACAGCCACCCGTGGACCCAGACCCGCCGTTGCGTTTAACGGTGGGGAAGAATCGTTCACTGATCCGTCAAGCCAGACGAATGAAATTATGGACGCGAGGAAGAGGAGCATTGACCTGTTAGAATAAAATAAAATAAATAAAGCGTCAGGCCGATGATGGAATCTGGAGGCAAACAATACCAAGACGTCGATACCGCCGGCATCGCAAGTAAAACCTGAACATTCCACCATGTAGCGGAACTTGTCCCCCTTACTTCCTACCAGCAGCCGAATCGGTTAATATCCCTTTTCCCCTTTATTCTTGAACACAAACACGCACCTCTTCCCACTTCGACGATCGAAATATGCTCCTCATCGTCCCAAATCTCACCATATATATATATCCATATACAAGACCCATCAACGCGCATATCAAAGAAAGTTGCGCGGTGTTCTTCGTAATAGGGTCGTTGGACGCTTGGGGTATTTGCAATAACGTTAAAATAGCACTACGATGTTATTTATATTTAGCTCTGCCGCACTTAAAAACAGAAAATATAACGCACGATATCAAAAAAGCAGATACGCCGTTCACCATTTCCCAATCCTTCGACAATGAGTCCAAATCCGAATCCGACCCAGCGGTCCTCGAATGATACCACATTGGAAATCTCAGAAGCAATAGATTGTAGTAAATCTGCCTGGGCAACAGACGCGTGGCTTCGCATAATGACTTCACTGTAATTTCATTGCGGTTGTAAAAGCCGTTTGACGAGGAGTTGAAGGAGGGGTTGGTGTTGGTCGTCGGACCTGCGATTGCATCTTGGCCTGGGTTGTCGTTCGTTTCGGAGTCGACAGCTCCAATAGGTGAGGACCACTGGTAAAAATGAGCCCAGCTCGTCGGTATCTGCGGAAGCAACCTAAACGTGTTAACGGACGCAAATCTCTCTGGAACAGGGGAGTTTGCGCGCGAACGAGAGGCGGTATCGGAAGTAGTTGGGTATATGAAATTCGATTTGACGCTGATGTTTGGCCGCTCGGGGTCTGCCCCATGATGTGTACTTCTCCCTCTTAACGCTGTATATAACAGTTAACACACGATTAGGACCTTGAGAGGATGGACACGTACCTTGACCGTCGCTCCACATAGAAGTCAACGATACGCTACCATCCGAAACGCTCTCCCTTGCCATCCCTCTATCTTCGTCGTGTGTATCAATCGAGACGTTGGTCGCGGTATTGGCGTTATTCGATGGGCGTATAGTTCCAGTCATTTCGATACCCAAAATTGCAGGCAACGTCTCTGCTTCTGAGCTCCCTCTTGCGGTTGTCGCGAATACGCGTTCGGTGTCCATTATGTCCGCTTTACGAGCTGTGGCGTGAGCGTGACACAGTATCACTACCTACAGGCGTTGTAATAACGTTCGCCTGCCGGAGACGCGTCTTCGTCAGCGTGGATAGAGCAGGACGCTTCATTTCGTATGAGGTTCGGCGAGGGATCCTTGCAGCTGTGTATGTAGGCTTATTCCGCGTGTTGTGCTCGGGTTTGGACGCCTTCGCTTTCATCGTTTTCAATATTGCTGACCTCCTATTCCGTGATGAGGGTACGTCGTCATTCTGCCTGCGCTTGATTCCGCCTGTGGGAGGGCGATTTCACTGTAAACAAGATGTGTTGTGAACAGCTATTTATAACGCTGGTCGCTTTCCGCGCGTTTATCTGGATGTACGATACATGAAGAGGGTGTAGAAGTTGTGAAGGATTTGCGGACATGGTCGTTTTGGTGCGCAGCAAGTCTATGCAGATTAGATATATTGCCCCGCAAATCGCATTGTTAGGAAGTGGATAGTGTGGTCGGTGTACACAACGGTCAAAAAAATGCGTTAAATCTGCGAGAAAATCATACATTGGTCGAGAATATAGTCATAAGGTAAGACTTACGGTAGCATGCAATTGGGAAAGCCTCTCCGACTTCATGCATAAGCGCTATCTGCCCTGGCTCGGGTTTCGCATGTCCTCAGACATGTGCGACAGTTTCTTTTCTTGGGTATCGGTCAAATTCACGTAAGTTCAAGAGCTGGTTTTGACGCGGATGGTTCCCCCAGACCCGAACATGTGGACCTGGAGATTAGATGCGTTGTGGGACTCGTGTCCGGAGTTGCAGTCGAGGGTAAAAACCTACCAGCGGCCTGTGAAAAAAGTCAAGTAATATTTTAGGTGAATGAAGTGGGCTGGTATATGTCCCTTGAAATCCATGGCATCCATATGCGAGGGGTAAGTTTTACTCATGTGGCTTTCTTTGGTAGGTAGCGCGGAACGGACACGCCGTTGTATAAAATATATGCTCCACGATGCGAGTATCGGATATTCATTAACTTGTTCTAAACCTTTGCTAAACCTTACATAAGTTGAGATGAAAATCAGTAAAAGGTTTGAGAAACTTGAACAGACGCAACTTGAAACTCCTTCTTATCACTCTCAGCGACGTTCGCCTGAAGCCCAGAAACCGATTTCCCAGCCGTGCGATGAACAAGGGCGGCTGAGACCGCAGCTGTATGTCCGCCAATCATCAATCACCGTTTCCAAACTTTGATCCTCAAGCAGGAAGGGGATGAACCAGATATGGCAGTGAGGAAAGCAATCCCATCGGACGTAACACTCATTCCATGGCACCAGACCCCTGCTTCACCATCGGAGTATCGTTTGAAATTGCCTTCGTGAGGCGCTTGTGTTGAGACCAAGATTCCTACTGCTGCGTTGAATCGGAATTCTATCAAATAATACTACTCAGGCAAGGAACCCCACTCACCTAGCCTTAGCCATGTGATACTCAATACGGCGAAGGTTGTATAAAACTCAGCACAGCCTCCAGAATCACAAGTCTTGGAATGTCGTTTTTGCCCAGCCGAAACGGGCAGAGCCACAGCAAACCACTTCGTCCAGTCAGGCGATGGGTCCATCGCCTGCAGCGCAATGATATTTTGTGGTGATGATATCAGCGAGCTCTGCCCACCGATGTTTGCGGCCAATGCGATTGATTGCCAAATGCCGAGGACCGTTAGTGTCCGCAAAATGGGCTAGAGAGAGGCACGTTGGTTTCGGTGGACAACAAGAGGTCAGGCCATACCTACCCGTATCAGGGTGAAGCACTGCGTGGGGGCAGCAACATCACTAGGTTAGCCATGAACGTGAGTAAGAGTGAACAGCTTATGACTATGAGGAATAGATATCACCTGATCCACATGCTGGCGAAATGCGACACGCCCATGAATGCAAGCAGAACGGTGCTTGGGTGTGTACCAGCTAGTGCGAGAACGCGAGTGATCAGCACTCGGTCAATATTGGTCTTGTTAGGGCAGATGAAATGGTAAAGCCTCCGATTAATAGCATGATCGTTGGTGAGAACATGATGAAAAAAAACATATCTGAAAAAGATTGAGAATGAGATCCTTGAGATGCGGGTTTGATCGTGACATACTTCGTAGTAGCAGGCGTCAATAACTGTCCATCACCTTCGTCGCGGATGACTCTAAGAAGAACTAAAAGCAAAGGAACACACATAGACGATAATGGGATGGCCTGGATGAATGTCTAGTGGAAAATTTCAGCAAAATGTCACAAAACCAGACCTCTGTAACCCAAATAATAGTGCAAAAAACAAGGACCACAAAGCATCAATTAGCTTCGAAGCCTTCCACGGACTGAATGTTCAAAAGCAGGGCAAAGACAGTGACAGCAATGGCCATAAATATGTGCCTTTTCTTGAGCTTGAACTTGCCAACAGAAGTTGGGATGTTTAGCAGCGACGGCTCAGGCTCCTGAACGAGTGTTGCACCAGGCGGTATCGTCGGATCGCCCTCTCCCCTCCTCTCGCGACCGATCTCCGTTGCCATTTTCATCTTCATTATCCGCTGGTGGAGGGGCGTTGGCGCTGGTAGACGTGATACTGACTTCAGAGCCGAACGTTCTGGTCGTTGTCACCATGACGGTCTTGCGCGTAGTGGCTGTACTTGGAGTTGTGGATGTAGACTCCACGAGGGTAACAGTTGGTCGTTCTGAACAGGTTGTTAGTAGGGAATATTCCAGAGATGCGTGAGCTGAGTTCAAGGGGTCAACGGCTTGGCGGACAAACTGTAGGCTGCAGAGTCAGATGATGTGTGGTGACGGCACGTACTGTAAACCTCAACCGTCAACGACAAGGGAACAGTGAAATAAGTAGCCACAAGAACCCCCCCTCCATCATTCGGGTCGTCTTCGCGAGACGCGAGGAAGTCCAGATCACTAAGTGAGAGAGAAAAGTTTCACAGTATCACTAGTGGCTACCACTATTTATGATTAATCTATGACAACTGTCCAAGAGCCATTGTGTATAATGCCACAGGTTTTATGAAAGGCATCTCATTAGGATTGCCCATCTATTTCATTCAATTTGTCACTGGAATCTTTCATAAGTTATAGGCAAGGATAATGAGATATCATGGGGATATTTCATTAGGCTCTTTGGCCCTTTCATTATCATTTCTGAGACTTTTCATTAGGATATTTCATTAGGCTGCTTCGCTTTTTCATTACCATTTCATAGAATTTTCATTAGGATATTTCATTAGGCTCCTTGACACTTTCATTACCATTTCTTAGAATTTTCATTAGGATATTTCATTAGGCTCCTGCGCTTTTTCATTATCATTTCTTAGAATTTTCATTAGGATATTTCATTAGGCTCCTTCGCTTTTTCATTACCATTTCTTAGAATTCTCATTAGGATATTTAATTAGGCTCCTGCGCTTTTTCATTATCATTTCTTAGAATTTTCATTAGGATATTTCATTAGGCTGCTTCGCGTTTTCATTACCATTTCATAGAATTTTCATTAGGATATTTCATTAGGCTCCTTGGCACTTTCATTACCATTTCATAGAATTTTCATTAGGATATTTCATTAGGCTCCTTGGCACTTTCATTACCATTTCTTAGAATTTTCATTAGGATATTTCATTAGGCTCCTGCGCTTTTTCATTATCATTTCTTAGAATTTTCATTAGGATATTTCATTAGGCTTCTGCGCTTTTTCATTATCATTTCTTAGAATTTTCATTAGGATATTTCATTAGGCTCCTGTGCTTTTTCATTACCATTTCATAGAATTTTCATTAGGATATTTCATTAGGCTCCTGCGCTTTTTCATTACCATTTCTTAGAATTTTCATTAGGATATTTCATTAGGCTCCTTCGCTTTTTCATTACCATTTCATAGAAT